TGTTTTTTTTTTTTTTTTTTGTACACGCCTCTGTTGGCTGTAGTGAATTTCAGTAGAGCAGTTTACTAGTTTCTATCTGCAGTGATTTTTTACTCCAACTACCATTCCCAAGTCATTCCTGACACCTTTTTAGTTTTCCTTTTGTTTCAAATATAATGCATTCATATTCTAACAAATGTTGTTAGGTTGCTTTAATTTTTACATTCGGCATTAGTTTGTTTGTTTGTTTTGATTTGTATTTTGGCGTTTCGGCTCTGAAACAGTCTTCCACGGAGCTGAAGGAGGAGATTGACATGCTTGAGCTTGAAATTATGCATGTAGAACGTCATCTTCTTTCACTATATAGAACAGCTTTTCAAGGATGTGCCTTGCCGAGTACCCCAGAAAGCCGTTTACAATTTAAGACAGGACACTCCAAATTGGAGCTGCAAATGCACAGAGGTGGATTGGTCCATCATGATCAAACTTCCCCTGCACATCGCCGGGTCAGCTCAGATAATCGGAATAGTGCCACTAGCATAAAAGCCCCATCTAACTGGGTAAATTGCCTGACAATCGATTAGATTTAGATATTAATTGGTTCATACACATTTAAATTTCTTTTTTGAGGGGCTAAAGGGGATTTTACATTATTGTGCCTATTTATTTTCTCCCTAGCTATCATTTGTTTATAATTGAAGTTTATGAATTTGCAGGACCGGAAAATTAATTCTCGTCATCGCAGCCTAGCTGATCATCTTGGTGAGACTTGCAATGATAGTACCCTTAATACTCCAGATAGACTTTCTGAAGATATTGTAAGATGCATCTCTTCTATATACTGCAAACTTGCCAATCCCCAAACCCACACATGCCCGTCAGCGTCGCCTGCTTCCTCCTTGTCCTCCTCAAGTATATTTTCTTCTAAGAATCCTTGTGATAGTTGGAGTCCACATTGCAATGAGGATGCTACAATGCATCATCAAGGGTTGAAAGAAAACAGTGGACCCTATGCCACAATGATAGAAGTTTTGAAGATATGTTTAGACGATGACAGCTTCAATTATGCTGCTATGATGCTGCAAAATTTCAGGTTGTGCGCATGTACCTCAATATGAAATTTATATTTTTTTTCCTTATGGTAAAATTAGGTTGGTATAACCTTAAAATTTTTGTTGGTTTGATCATTAGAAAATAAGTAAAAAGAAAAGGGAAAAAATATATTTTGTGGTTGTGATTTCAAAACTTCTTTATATTTGTGATTCTTTCAAATGTGACATGCTTCAATGCTTTATAGGTCATTGGTGAGAAGTCTAGAGAAGGTTGATGTCCTAAAGATGAAGCGTGAGGAGAAGCTTGTGTTCTGGATTAACATTCACAATGCCTTGGTGATGCATGTATGGCTCCAGATGTTCAAACTATAAACCCTTTTTTTTCTTTCCATTATATCTTTCTCTGTACAATAAAACTTTAGTTCATAACTTCATATTGAAAACTTTTACTCTGAAGTTGACTTGTTCTATAGGCATATGGTTATCGAAAAAAGGGGATATTCTAGTAACACAATAATTACTTTTCTAAGAGATAGGTATATGTGAAATGTCAAGAAAGTCATGGTATTTGCTTAACTATTCAAAGAATATTACATAATGATAAAAACTGCAAGAAGATATTCTTCATAGGTGTAAATGCATGTCTGGTGAGGCTTATGACATTTCTTTGCAGGCATACCTGGCATATGGAACTCACAGCCGTGTGAAAAGTACTTCAATTTTAAAGGTAAAAGTCCCATCCTATAGTATACTGTGATTAAAATGATATATGGGACTCACCAGTAAACACACTTGTGTCCTTTAAATCCCACTTTCAGGCAGCATACAATATAGGTGGACATTGCATAAATGCGTATATCATACAGAGCTCCATATTAGGAATTCGAGCACACCACTCAGCACCGGTATGCACTGTTCTCTGAAACCCTACTTACCTCATATGGTCTGCGTGCTTTATGAATCTCAACACATCCCGTAAGCCAATCATGAGATTTTATGACTGCAGTTGAGTAGTACTGAACAAGTTTTGGTGATTCCATGATCTTGAAAAAATTAGGCCTCTGAGCTAGAATTAGTGCACACTCTTCTGCAACACCACTGTGAACAAAGGGCCAAGAAACTCTAAAATTACCTGCCTATTAATATCCTTACTGAGTGTTTGAGCATCCTCATTTTGGAGGTGCCTTTTGGTATCCTTACGGATAACTGAATAGCATGTCATTATCCTCAAGGAGCTTTCAATTACAATATGTCGAGTAACCATCATTTGAAGCTAAATTGGATGCCTATCCAGCATTTCACAATTTCATCGGCCATGCTGGGAACAATTTCACTTTATAATGCCTTTCTTCATACTATGTAAATGCAGTGGCTACAAACGTTGTTCCATTCAGGAAGGAAGTTGAAGACAGGGAGCATCAGACATGCATACGCGTTAGAATACCCTGAGCCACTAGTCCATTTTGCTCTATGTTCAGGGGCGTACTCTGACCCGGCGGTATCAGTTTTCTCCTGTTGAAACTATTTTTCAGTGACATTTATGCCTAGAAATAGTTGTGGCCTTTTCTATGCATCTGTTTCTAGCTTTGTCTGAAGTTGTGCTGCTTTACTGGATGCAGGTTCGAGCATACAGAGCGAAGAGCATATTTCAGGACCTGAAACTTGCTAAAAAAGAATTCATTCAAGCTAATGTCTATATGTACAAGGAGACAAAGCTTTTCCTCCCAAAAATTCTTTACTACTTTGCAAAAGACATGTCACTGGGTATGCTAGGGCTCTTGGAGGAAATAAATGATTGTCTCTCAGACATTCAAAAGAAAGCTATCAGAAGCTGCATGGCAGGAAAGCTTGACAAGTACATACAATGGCTACCTCAAAGTTCAACCTTTCGGTATGTAATCCATGAGGAATTAGCCAACGTAAAATTAACTTTATAATTCCCCAGTATGGTTAGAGAGGAGCAAGGAAGTGTTTGTTTCTGATAGGAGCCACAAATAAAGGGCAAATGTTAATCTGTACAGAGTTGGATTGAGGAAATTAAGTACAGAATATTCTTCACCATCCACTTAAATTGAATCACTTTGTTCTAAATAAAGTTTTCTAAGAATGCTTTGCGGTTATGGATAGCCTTTTGGATTTTGGGCAGAATCATGCAGCCAAAACCAATAACCGACCATTTCCAAGGACCGAAAGAACCTCTCCATCCTTCCAGAGATTGTTGTGGACTGGAGAGGAGAGGGTTGTGGTTGCTGCTGTTGACTGGCATTCGCTGGTGAATCATGGTTGAAAATAGTTTTTCAGACTCGTCTATGGACAAAGTTTCTTTCTTTTCTTTTCCTTTTTTGGTCTGGTACAAAGTAAACTTATAAAAGTGTTGATAAAGTTATAGCAAGGGGCTTGTAGCTTAAGTGGTTAAAAACATTTACTTATGTATCCGAGGTCCTAGGTTTGATTCTTCTGCCCCAAATATCCTTTGTATTAAAAAAAGAAAAAAAAGAAAGGGTGATGCTAGGGAGACGACATTATTAGACAACCTTATAAACCAACTCTCTAATAAAGGTGGAACCTATCAATACAATGGGTCTCACCTCTATTATAAATGTGGTATCCCTAGTATTTTCCAAAAAGCAAAAAAGTTACATAATTATAAATGTTGGAGTTGGCCAGCCTGTGTAATACTAATATCCAATATATGGTTGCAGCATTCTTCTCTGTGCACTCCGTTGAATCGGCCGACTCTTTGAATCCAAATTTGTAGCACAACGGCCCCCCTCCGTTAGTTACGTTTACCCTGACCCTGAGTGAGTCTAGTCTAACATAACATCTCATGTAGAATATAAATAATAAATATATGTATATATATAATTAAACTTGCTAATTAAGATTATTTACACAAAACAAGAGCATCAAAAGAAAGAATACGCTTGCTTCTTCATTAGCAATGGTAATTACGTCTGTTCATTTCTGTTTACTGGATCTCAAACATTTTCATTGCTACGCTACGCATGATTTCTTTAACCAATTAATCCCTCTATAATATTATTAATTTGTCAAAAGCATTTGCTTTAATTAGTTCTTGAATTAATCCATATTGATATAGTAGTTTAACAGCTTCGATCCGCTTTTTGAATTGTTCCAGATTCATTTTGTCATTCTTGTTAGTCGACAAGGAAAAGTGAGGCTGACCAAATGGTTTTCACCCTATTCCCAGAAGGAACGATCTAAGGTACCAGTCACTTACTTCCAACGATGTCTCCTTATGAAATTAGATAGACTTTTTCTTAGTTTGCAAGTGGGCAATTCTTTTCTAGGCGTTTTCAGCTAACTAGAAATACTTCTGGATGGGAAATGATTGTCTAAACCACGGCAGTCGACCAGACGTCGATTTAAAACGACGCAGCCTTAAAAACACAAAGTTAAAAGTACTTGTAGGTGGTAAAATTGGCTATAAGATTCTTAAACAGGTCATTGTATCGTCAATCCTACATATCGTGTGACAGTGTTGGCATAGATTTTGTATTTATCTTGGTGTGGAAATGTTGCTGCTTATATATAATGCATTGCTTACGCAAACTTTGTGAGAAAAAGGTAATGCGGGAACTGAGTGGCATAATACTCAATCGGGGCCCCAAGTTGTGCAACTTTGTGGAGTGGAGGGGGCTTAAAGTTGTGTATAAAAGGTACAAGATTACTGTTTTTCCTAGCTACTCACACATTTAATTAGTCCTTAATTAATTTTGAAAATCAAAGTTGTACACTGTAATATTGTTCTTGAAGATTCATAATTGTTTTGTTTTTTTCCTACGGATTATCATGCTCAGATATGCCAGCCTCTATTTCTGCATGTGTGTTGACCAGAACGATAACGAACTGGAAACCCTTGAAATAATTCACCATTATGTTGAGATACTGGATCGCTATTTCGGCAGCGTGAGCTTTATTAACTTTGCTCTTGCAACAAATAAAAGATTTTTTTACTATTAGTGATCTTGGGATGAATTCAATTGATTTAACTATGCCATGCTTAATTCTTCTTCTTAAATAGGTTTGTGAGCTGGACTTGATTTTTAACTTTCATAAGGTATTCCTTTTATCCTTCTTTATATCCCCGTTCATTGGCTTATGTATTTTCCAACTTTAATGGAGGTTGGTATATTTGCAGGCTTACTATATATTGGATGAGCTTCTGCTTGCTGGCGAGCTTCAAGAGTCAAGCAAGAGAACAGTCGGGCGGATGATAGCTACCCATGTATATACTATAACATTCCAATTTTCTCATATTACTGCGGATGTTTGGACGTTGTTACCGTGCGGACGCCATTATAAATATAATGGAAAGTAGGGAAGAATAATGGAAAATACATGGTGTTCGCACAGTAATAACGTCCAAATGTTCGTAATATGTGTGTGTTTGTATATTGATGACTCGGGTTTCATATATAACAGGATCGATTTGTGGAGGTTGCTAAAGAGGAGGCGAGTTCAATAGGCACTTTGATCGCACAAGTCCGCATGTAGGAGAGGAGATTGATTCATATGAAATGCACAAATATTGCTATGAGTTCTACATTAATTGATTAGAAATTCGGAACTGCCTGCCCCAACCTTCCTTCGGCAATTACCGTTTGACAGATCCAAATGTTGCTTTTATATTAGAGCTCCAACGCTGGAGACAGAGTATATAACCCACACCGTGCTTTGTACTTACTACACGTGCTGCTTCATGTTCTCTTATACACTTGATTACTGTATAGTAACGAGAATAAAGGGGCACAACTTTGCATCCATATCTTTAATTAAACAATTTCTTTTTGGCACTTCTGCACATATGTACATAGAATAATTTTTATAGCATTTTTTATATAAATAAGTTCACTTTAGCATGGCGGATTGGTGACGGTCGGCTGGTACAAATTTATGGTGATGTTTAGATTCCCTACCGTCGCATATTCAAGGTTCAAACTGCTCCAAGCGTCCCTATGGATACTAAGGTTAGCACCCTGATTTCGGCAAGTGGGCAGTGGGATGTTTCCAAGGTTTATAGTTTATTTACTTTCATGGAAGTGGAGACTATCTTGTCTATACCTTTGGTCTGTGATAACGTCGATCGTAGAATTTGGCACTTTACCGCACATGTGCGATATACTGTGAAGAGTGGATACTGGGATGCCTTAGAATATTAGAATTTTGCTCTCAGTCACACTGACACTGGTACTGGATCTTCTCCGTCACAAAAATTATGGAAGCATCTTTGGAAAATGAAAGTGCCGACGAAAATACAACACTTTCTTTAGCGTTTCGCTCAAAATGGCATCCGACAAAAGCTGTCATTTTTCACCGTAAGATCGCCATGGACACGACTTGTTTTTGTTGCTCCACTGGCTGTGAAACAGCAATTCATGCCCTACGAGATTGCCCAGCTATTCGTCCCGTATGGGAGTCTTCGGAACTGCCGACCGTTTTTCTTGGTTTGACTTTGGACGACGCTGCTACTTCGTTGTTGGGGGCATGGGATTTAATCCCAACCGCTCAGCAACCTTTTTTTGTTACTATGCTGTGGCTATTGTGGAATGATTGGAATGCTGTCCTTTTTGGTTCTAATCCTATGTCTGCGGAGCATCCCCTTTTCTATGCAAAGAACTATTTTGTCCCTTGTGGTTCTACCTGGGAAAGTTTTAACGAGGCCATTGTTAACATGCTTGTTCTTACCATGTAATATTCTTTTTGGGTTGAATGCAATACCATTTTCTCTCTCCAAAAAAAAAAATTAGGGCTTTGCACAAATAGGCCCATTCTAACTTGACATATTATACAAAAACTCATTAAAAAATTGACAAGTGGTTACTTTTGGGTTTTTCTCTCCAAATAGGCTCTATAAAGGTTTTTGTATAATATGCCAAGTTAGAATGGGCCTATTTGTGCAAAGCCCTAATTTTTAAGTGAGGCTAATGTAAACATCATTCCCAGGGTTTCCATCATTCACAGTGAGGATGTTCTCATTTTTCTTACATCTAAATGTCCTCTTATAACATAATTATATATAGAGAGAGCGCTTCAACAATTTTAGATATTATAATTTCTCCAAAAAATCACTTCACTCAAAAGTTATTTGACCAATCAATTATGTGGCATACACCATGTCACTAATACTAAGTTAATAAAATGGTGTACATGTGGTTAGGTATTTCATTTTTGAGAAACAGATCATAACATTGCATTAAGAGATAAGCATAACATCATTAGTGAGAATGGGAGACAACCATTGAGGTCCATCTTCCATCCAAACTATAAGGTCCGAAATAGAAAGTGCAAAACGTGCGAGGCTATGAGCCGCACGATTACAAGTACGAGGTCGAAACTGACCAACACAACTATGAAATATGAATTAGCCAAAACCTGAATTTCATTTACTAAAACTCCTTCGTAGCCCAAATCTGCATCACATTGGAAAGCCATCTGTATTGCTGCTTGTGCATCTGACTCCAAGTATATATGTTGCAACCCCAAGTCCTTAGCAAGTTGTAGACCCAATCTGATTGCGAATAATTCAGTAGCATTGGGCGTAAACAAGCCACACACTGGTTTGACTGCTGCTGCAATCAACTCTCCACGATCATCTCTAATAACAACTCCCAGCCCTCTAAACAACTCCCAGCCCTCTAACACTATCATTTGTCTTTAAAGCCCTGTCCACATTAATTTTAAAAAACTGAGCAGGAGGCCTCTCCCAATTCACCACCAAGTTACTTCCTCCTTGAGTCGCGCATGCATACGTACAATTCGCACAATAGAATTCTTCTGCCATCTCCTGCATGTGTTGGTAACTTTGGAAAGCATTGGGCTTACGGCCTTGAAACAATTGATCATTTCTTCCATTCCACACATTCCAACAAATATACCCAAAATGCCTAAGTTCCTTATCAGTCAATACAGTCAAGATATAGCGGAATAAATTGAGAAAGCAACCATGATATTTCGAGGTACATGAATCTTGAAGAGCTGAAAATTGCCATACCTCACGGGCTGCAGGACAGTCCCATAAAGCATGTAAAACTGTTTCCGGTGCTTGGTGACATCGAAAGCAAATAGGGTTAGATACTACTCTCTTCACAGAAAGATTTGCTCGACATGGTAAAATCTCAAGCATACATCTCCATAAAAAATACTTTGACTTTATTAGCCACTTGCAGCCGCCATAACCTCAACCAAATGTTCTCAAAGTTGCTGCTAGATGCCCCCACCTCTCCATCTCCGCGATCTCGAATTGCACAAGCAAGCCAATATCCACTTCGTACTGTGTAGCAACCTTTTTTCTCATAATGCCAGACCAGCTTGTCCTCATTTTGTAATACATATCCCATTGGTATACTGAGCACTGCATCTGCTTCATGTTTCCAGAAACTAGCATTAACCAGCTCGCGATCCCAATGTCCTGAATCATTGATGAAGTCACAAACTCGGGTGTTTAGGGGCAATCGTGGAGGAGTGGTGATTCTAAAGAGATGAGGTAGTGGCACCCATTTGTCCTCATTAATAGAAATTTGCAATCCATTACCAACGCGCCAACGCAGTCCTGCCATTAATAATTCTCTGCCCCACAACAAGGATCTCCATACAAAAGAAGGATACACCCCGACATCCGCATCCAAAACAGTGCCGCCAGGAAAATAACGAGCCCTGAAGATGCGCGCTGTCAAAGAATTCGGATTTATAAAGACCCTCCAAACCTGTTTAGCTAGGAGAGCTTGGTTAAAATCTTCAATGTTTCGAAAGCCCAATCCGCCCAACTTCTTTGAGCGACATAAAAATTCCCACCTTCTCCAGTGAATTCCATGCTCCCCATTACTCTTTCCCCACCAAAACTTTGCAAATATGGAATGTAGCTCTTTGACAACAGACTTAGGCATTCTGAAGCAGCTCATGGAATAAGTAGGGACCGCTTGAGCCACAGACTTAATTAGAATTTCCTTACCAGCATTAGATAAAAAAATTTCCTTCCAACCTTGAACCTTCCGCTTGACTCGCTCCTGGACTGTTAGAAATAGAGAATGCCGATTCCTCCCCACCACCGTTGGCAGCCCAAGAAATCGCTCGTGGCAAGCCACAACAGGCACTTGCAGTATATTCTTTGCTGCATCAATAATTTCCGCTGTTACATTTGAGCTAAAAGACACCGCAGATTTGTCAAGATTTATCTTCTGGCCCAAAGCTTTTTCATAGGTAGCAAAAATTCCTTTGACAATTTCAAACACTTCCCTTTTGGCCTCTAGGAAAATCAGGGAGTCATCGACAAAGAAAAGATGAGACACTGGTGGGGCTTCAGCCGCCACTTTCACTCCTCTGATATGTCCCAATTGCACAGCTCGTTGAATGAGACCTGTAAATCCCTCTGCACAAATTAAAAAAAGATATGGGGATAAAGGGCATCCTTGTCTAATACCTCGATGCAGGGTGATATGTCCAAGAGGATTGCCTTGCCATAGGACCGAGAAGGAGACCGTAGTAATACAATCCATGATACGAGTTACCCAACTCTCCGCAAACCCTAAACGTTTCATCATTGCCTCCACAAAACACCATTCCACTCTGTCATAAGCTTTCGCCATATCCAATTTTAGAGCCATTTTAACACCGCTCCCACTTCGTGGCCCTTTCATATGATGAACCACCTCAAAAGCGGACATGACA